CGAGTTTTGCTGGTCACTTCTGGCTTCCTCGAGACGTATAGTCTGGATCAACTATCTTTGAAGTGGTCTTATGTGGGCAGTTCTTACAACCTCCCAATTTGTCTGATTGGTGTATTCTTAAAACCATGCATTTATATACTGCACTATCTGCCTGTTCTGCCAGACCTCCCAATTGATTGATCTTGAATCAATGCATTTGCATTGTTAGGTTTTACCATCTTTTGGTGCATGAATTGTCTACTTATATATATTAACACATCAAAAAACATTATAAGATATTGCATTTACATCAAAGACCTCAGGTTTGGCACTGCAAAATCAAACCTAATCAATTTGACATAAAAATAATATATAAACTCCCCCATTTAGAGAAATCATAGAATTAATACTAATTATCAATGATAAAATAAAATACAATAAACAAAATATAAAAAATCTGAAAATGATAATAAAGGAAGAACCCATCAGCTTACGATGAAATATAAAATCAATATAAAACCAGATATATATTCTGAATTCTAAGATATACCCTGAATAAAGGAAAAAAATCAAAATGATAAAATGTTATATATACACAAGAAAAATACCATATTTAAAAATACCATAATTTAAAATGATTTAAAAAGGTTCTCTATGACAGACGGAGGGAAAAAAACAAAACTCTAATTCAAAAAATGACAGATCTTAAAATCATTGTTGAGACCATAAGTGTCTAGTTCAAAAATCCACTTCATCTCCATCTGTTCTAGTTTTTGATTAAAATTCCCACCTCTTAAATTCATTTTGACCTTCTGAATACCTATAAAGGTTAATAGGGACAATTCTGATGGTCTATAAAATGCAGTGAAACTTGATGTGCAAACATTCTGTTACTAACATCAGTTAAAATCCTTTTACGATTGGGCACTCCCCTATGCACAATCTTTGTATTAGTCTTCTCAGTTAAAATTTTGGCTTAAGATATTCTCACAATAGCCTCTATCTTTAAAATCCTGTATTATTTTTTGGCTTTGTTTTATAAAAAGATTATTTTCTGTGTAATTCCTCTTAATTCTAACTAACAGTTTTTTAGGTAAATTGTTGAGCCATGGACTATAGTGACAACTTATGTTTTCAATATAACTATTTACATCCACAACTTTGAAAAGAGTTTTTGTTTTAATGTCTAAAAAATTTACTTCTTGTTGGCTGTACATAAAAGTTAATTGAATTCTAATAGTCATTAGAATAAATAAAACCCATAAAAAAGGTTTACCTTATTCTCTTCCCCATCCCCCATCCTAAATTAAAAAGAAATAATCAATTTATCTGTTATCGAGCATCAAGCTTATCCCCCACTCCCTGCCAAAATTCATTTATTGAGATTCCCAGTGTGCCATGAACAAATTGGTTAAACTTAGGGGCGAACCTGGTGTTCATTGCTGCACCACACTTTTGAAGGTAAAATTCATCCTGGAGCCAAAAATAATTGTTCTGTAGAATTAACCTTATTGATTCCAACTCGAACTGAAATGGATGAGCATGTTCCTTTAATTTGTGATTTTGAGTTTCACCCATGAAACCAAAATAAATAGGCGATTGAAAAAAAAAAAGATGATTACTGTACACTCACTGAATGTTGATTTTATTCACAAATCAAGTGAGAAGTGAGTAATAGAGTGGAAAAAAGGAGGAGCAGTAAAAAAAAATCTATTTTCTCCTTTTCTTTTCCCCTCTATTGGTTACTTTTTCTTGCTTAAAAACGTAACCATGCAAAATATAATAAAACAAGGTTCAGTTTCAGAATCAAAACACAAGATGCTAAAGTAAAAAGAAAACTTTATATGTTGTTGCCCTCCAAGTCATGGATAAGTGGGTCTGCCCATTAAAGGCGCAAGAAATTGCAACTGCTGTTCTCTGAGGAATTTCCTTACAGGCAAGTAATGCATAAGTGCATGCTTCCTTGTGCCCCTCTCTGTGCACTGTGATGCATACTATTTGATTCTAGAGAAAATGTATGGAAAAAAATAACATTCTCTTGTCATGTTTTTTCAGTCCAAATAGTTTTTTTTTCTTTGCACTATCTAGTTAAATATTTACACCGGGAGACTCAGATAAATACACCATGTGCATGTCTGGTGTAATTATGTGTCTGTACTTTTGTAATTGTGTGCATGTCTGGGGCAGTGTGTGTGTGTGTGTGTATGTCTGTGGTTATATATTGGATGAACAATAGCAATACCTACCCGGTCACTAATTATTTTTTTTACATTCTTTATTTTTTGTAGTGTATAGATTAATAAGCATGAAAACATTTCACGGAAAAAGGTGGGTTAGGCAGAAAATGTTAATTGTACTGCACTTTATAGAATAAAATAAAAGTAAATATTAATGCTTTAGTTTCAAGATTAGAAAAATGCCAGTAAGAAGTGTAGAACATGAGGAAAATCAGGCTGAAGCTAATTATTTTTTTCCAAATAACACTGGGCATGACATTATGAAGAGATAGAGAAACCATCTAGACTGTGGCTATTTGTCAACACGCTCAGTCAATGCGTTCCAGAAGATGAGTGTTGGACTGGTAAGAGTGTACTAGAGTCCACTGCAACTACAACCCACCAGCCCCAGAGTCTGGAGAGAGTTTAGAGAAGGGCTACTAAACTGGTTCATGGATTACAGTATAAAACTTACAAGGAAAGGTTAAAGGATCTTATTATGTATAGCTTGGAGGAAAGACGGAACAGGGGAGATTTGATAGAAACATTAAAATACATAAAGGAAATCAACACAGTAAAGGAGGATACTATATTTAAAAGGAGGAAAAACTACCACAACAGGAAGACATAGTCTTAAACTAGAGGGGCAAAGGTTTAAAAACAATATCAGGAAGTATTACTTTACTGAGAGGGTAGTGGATGAATTAAATAAACCTCCAGCTGAAGTGGTAGAGGTTAATACAGTGAAGCTATAAGCTATAGCTATAAGATAAGGCCATGGACTAATGAGAGTATTTAGAAAATTGGGCAGACTATATGGGCCGAATGGTTCTTATCTGCCATCACATTCTATGTTTCTATGAATTACTAGAGTCCCTGGGCTTCACGGTCAACTGGGAAAAATCGGTGCTGATTACCTCTCAGTGTGTCCAATGTCTAGGTTTAGGTCTCAGTCCTGTACACTTTGGCATACCTTCCACAAACTTTTTGGCCATACGCAAGGAGATTCGCAAGATACTACTAGTTTTGTATCACATTTGCCTACAAAAAGTGAAGGTACTCCTTCTGACTCTGTGGTAGCCAAGTCAACCTTGGTTTCCGGACGTCCTCACCTTTTTTGCGAGCCTCCTCTTCTCCTACCGGACGACCCATGTTACTCAGGGACCCAGTAGGTAACCCACATCCAATGTTACACATCTCTTTAGTGGCCTAGAGTCTTTTAGGGGCTCCTGGAGTATCAAGGAATTATCACCAACAGCTAAAGACCTTCTCTGGGACTCTTGGGCCCCAGGAACGAGGAGGTGTTACATCTCCACATGGCATTCCTGGGCCAATTGGTGTATGAGATGGAATCTTGATTCCTTTACAGCCTCTGTTTCCTCAATTTTGAACTTTCTGTCGTCTCTCTTTTCAGATGCTAAGTCTTATCGTTCTAATAATGTAGTTTGCTCAGCCATCTTAGCTGCCCACGTCCAGATTGAAGGGAAACCGGTGGGACAAAACCCGTTGATCTGCCGCTTACTGCGGTGTATTCGACTTGTGCTACCACCGGTACTCAAGTACAAGACACAGTCCTTCTCTTTTTGAAGGATTGGCCTTCCTACAAAGGATTGTCTTTACGTCAACCTACAGCTAAAATGACGATTCTTCTTTGCCTTGTTTGTTCCGACAGGTCTTAGACATACACAGGGCCGGACTGGGAGAAAAATTTGGCCCGGGCATTTTTTTAACACAGCGGCCCACTAAGAAGGGGGCGGGGCAGAGGAGGTGTGTTTTGTCATCACCAATGACAAACACGCCCCCTCTCAAAGTGAGCATGTTGGTTCAATGCTCTCCCAGGGCAGACCATGTGCAGAGCTCTGCTGAAGAGCTCTAGCATGAGAAAAAAGCTCTGTATTTGTTCTGCACAGTGCAAGCAAATTTAAAAACATGCTTGCACTGTGTTTCCTTGCAACTTGTCTCTGGTGTCTCTATAAATGGATACCAGGAGACAAAAATGCCTGGAAAGAGTATTGTGCATGTGTTTGGAGCCTGCTTGTGGTATTGCGTGTGTGTAGAGTGAGCTGATTGTGGTGTGGTATTGTGTAATAAGGTTGGTTTTAGTCATGTTGTGTTTGTGGTGTAATGTGATGCATATGTGGCTATGGGCTGTAGAGAATGTGTGTATTGGGGATATAGCAAGTGTGTGTGTGTGTGTATATAGGTGATGATGTGTGTGTTTAGGGGTGTATTATGTGTTTGCTTACAAGGAATCTAGTGTGTGTATAGGTGATCCAGAGTGTGTATGTTAAGAGTGTAGTGTGTGTATATATATTTTTTTTTTATTTTTTTTTGGAAGTATTGTGTATGTGTGTGGTGCAGTGTTTTGGGGGGTTCTGTGTGTATGTGAGGGGTGCAGTATGTGTGTGTGAGAGTGCCGTTTGTGCGAGAGTGCCGTGTGTGCGAGAGTGCCGCGTGTGATGGGTGTGAGAGTGATGGGTGTGAGAATGATGGGTGAGAGAGTGCTGTGTGTGATGGGTGTGAGAGTGATGGGTGTGAGAGTGCTGTGTGTGTGTGAGAGTGCTGTGTGAGAGAGTGCTGTGAGAGAGTGATGTGTGTGTGAGAGTGCTGAGAGAGTGATGTGTGTGTGAGAGTGATGTGTGAGTTAGTGCTGTGTGTGAGTGCTGTGTGTGATGGGTGTGAGAGTGCTGTGTGTGATGGTTGTGAGAGCTGTGAGTGAGAGTGCTGTGAGTGAGTGCTGTGTGAGAGTGCTGTGAGTGAGAGCTGTGAGAGTGATGTGTGTGATGTGTGTGAGAGTGATTTGTATGAGAGTGCTGTGAGTGAGAGTGCTGTGAGTGAGAGTGCTGTGTGTGATGTGAGTGAGAGTGCTGTGTGTGAGAGTGCTGTGTGTGAGAGTGCTGTGTGTGATGTGTGTGAGAGTGCTGTGTGTGAGAGTGCTGTGTGTGATGAGAGTGCTGTGTGTGATGGGTGAGAGTGTGCTGTGTGTGATGGGTGTGAGAGTGCTGTGTGTTTGTGCTGTGTGTGATGGGTGTGAGAGTGCTGTGTGTGAGAGTGCTGTGTGTGAGAGTGCTGTGTGTGATGGGTGTGAGAGTGCTGTGTGTGATGTGAGTGAGAGTGCTGTGTGTTTGTGCTGTGTGTGATGGGTGTGAGAGTGCTGTGTGTGAAAGTGCTGTGTGTGATGGGTGTGAGAGTGCTGTGTGTGAGAGTGCTGTGTGTGATGGGTGTGAGAGTGCTGTGTGTGATGTGAGTGAGAGTGCTGTGTGTGAGAGTGCTGTGTGTGATGTGAGTGAGAGTGCTGTGTGTGAGAGTGCTGTGTGTGATGGGTGTGAGAGTGCTGTGTGTGATGTGAGAGTGCTGTGTGTGATGGGTGTGAGAGTGCTGTGTGTGATGGGTGTGAGAGTGCTGTATAAATGTTAGAATGGATTGTGTGTGTGTTGGGGGGGGGCAAAAAAACAAACAAACAGGCATTAAATCCCCCCTCCCTTCATACCTTTAGCCTGGGAGGGGGTGTCCGGCACACTGGGACTGGGAGGCGGTGTTCCCTGGTGGTCCTCGTGGGTGAGTGAACTCGTGAGAGGAACCCGGCGGAGCTGCAAGCTAGAGCTCCGCCGGGTCCTCCTCTCCTGGCGGCTGGCTGGCTGTCTGTCTCCCTCCCTCTCTCCCCGCCGGCGGCCGCAATATCCTGCATGTGGGCCTCACCGGCCCTCCATGGAAAACAGCGGGGCCGACGCTCGGATAGCGTCGGCCCTGCATAGACCGGCAGGGGAGATCCTGGGACCTCCCCTGCCGGCCTCGGCCCATGGCCACCGCGGCCCACCGGGCATTTGCCCTGTGTGCCCGATGGCCAGTCCGGGCCTGGACATACACGCTTTTGACGTGATTACTTTCTACTTTTCTCCAGAAGGTTTCACATTCTGCATTTACCGTCGTACTAAATCTAACTCGCCGTTATTTTTTTACCCATTTTTTCAGTTGGAACCATAACTTTGTTGCTACGTTACGGGCGTATTTGACTGTGACAGCTAATCTTTACTCGTCATCTTCATGACAATTGCTGATCTCCTATGTCAGATCTCACGGTCCAGTTTGGGTTACTACTTTGTCCAGGTGGGTCTGTTGGCTACTCATGATTTTCATGTATCCTACACTCCGACAAGTGTTTTTTTTTTCATTATTAGATTCTAGGTAACAACCTATTTTCTACTCGATTGAATAATTATGTACCTCACTGCTTTCAGCATACAGTAGGTTACCATTTTTTTTCTATTATTATATGTATAAGATCACTCTACATCTCCTACAACATTTTTATTCATCCCCCATATAGGGCAGGGTTACTATACTTTTTTGTGTTGAACAGTATTACAATTCCAGTTTCCCTAAGGTATGTCAACCTAATTGTTACTTAAACAGAACTCCCCCCCCTTTTTTAATCTAGTTAGTAAATACTGACTGATAGGGTCTTAGCCGTCCAATAGTTATTTATTTCTACGGCCTCTATGCCTTAGGTTAGTGGACCTGTGAGGCCAACACCCATACTCAGAGGTACTACGCCCATCAGCTCAAATCATAGCTAGCTGCCTCGCATAGTGGCATAGAGAGGGCATCACCTGTCACTCCTATTCTATCTTTTTTCCCCTTCTTTTCATATATATATATATATATATATCTATATATGTGTATACATATACATATATATATATATATAGATATATATATATATATATATTTATTTTTATTACAGTGTCATAATAAATTACATATAGACAATACAAAGGTAGCCATAAGTGTGGACACTCACGTCACATGAGATATCAACATGCTTAATCCTAATGGTGTTAAACAATACAATAAATACAAACCATGACAAGGCAAAACTAGCTCGGAAGACCATTAGGTTATTAGCCTCTGGGGATCGGCTGCATGGATTCAAAATGTGTTGTTTATTCTATCAGGCATAGTTCCACAAAAGAGAAAATAAAGAAAAAAACAGACTAAAGGGAAAAATAAAAAGGTGAAAACTAGGGGTAGCATCACAAATACAGTCAATATACAGAGAAAATGTACAATATTAGTAAAAATGGGCAAACAATGGTACAAAAACTTATGTATATGGGAACAAATATGTCCAATGCAGTCCAAAGAGAAGCAAATAAGTCCAATAATAAAAAGTCCAAATTGTAGTGTCAAAATACACTTTCCGGGAGTACTTTTCCACAAAAATGTCTATGAAATTCTTCAATGTAAGTACCAGTATATGTTCAGCAGTGGACTCCGTTTCAAACAGAAAGGCAATAATAGAGTAATATGTACATACAGGGGATAACTAAAAGGAATAAGATACGGTCCTACTCACATTCTATGGAGCTGTAACTAGCTCCAGTGTGAATGGCATACAGTGGTACAATCCCCACTTGTAAGGATACATGAGAGTGGTGTCTTTGAAGTATGTAGACCATAAAATATAAAAAGAAACAACAATAGTGTTCTCTGAATAAAATACCAGGAGTTGTAATAAATGAAAAATGCACTCACATTTCTCAGAGCAGGCAAACTGCTCTGTGGATAGGGCGTGGCTGGAATAATCCTCACCAGGGATATCTTGAGAGTAGTACTCACTGAAGATAAAAATCAGGTGCCAGGCAGTATGAAGTAATAACAATAATAGCAGTGACAATAAAATATAGAAAAAAAGAATAAGATGGCACACTCTGTAAAAGTGTCAAATAAGCAAAATACCTTTATTCTTACATAAAATAAAACAAATTAAAGCAGCATAAAAAATAACTACAACATGTTTCGCCTTTGGGGCTTTTTCAAGTGGAGATAAACAGACTGACCTGGCTTGCAAGGGTTTAAATAGGGGAATGGAAATAAAACAATTACAAATTTGGCACCATGATGACGCCATAGGTAAGTATTTTTAAGTTATAAATGTTTACAATATTTGTGCTGATTAAAGTGTGTGGAAGTATTTGGTGAAAGTCAAATATAAAAATTAAACGTAGGAATGTATAAAATCAGCTTTGTTTTTCATCACATGATCGGCTGTAATATTAGGGATCAGCCAGAAATTTGATCGGCATTGTGGGAAGTGTTGTTTTGAAATTATGGCCATGCACAGCGGTTATGTTGGTAGGGTATGGGATGGGGCAGGGCTAACGGGGAGGGGACGGGGAGTGAAATGGCAAGGTTTTGAGGGATTTTACGGATCGCACAATGATGCGGTGTAATAGGCATTAGGGGGCGTGATTAAGAGGTGGGGAGAAAATGAGGAACTAAAGGCTAGGAATTGTATGCGTGCAGAATAGTGTATAGATAAAACAGTGGTAAGGATCAATAATATCAATTACATACATGGTATACAATGTCAGATATATAATATTATAAATAAACTAAAAAATAAAATAAAAATACATAAAATAATGACCACTATGGTATACAATAAGATTTTACATAATAAGACTGGTTGTTGATATCTAAAAATAGATATCTTAACCCCTTCAGGACGGAGTCAATAGTACACGTTCTGATCAAAACAAAACGTAAACAAAAACTGGAATTTGCGCTAAAGGTCTGTTCAACCGTAATTCACCTCTTTCATATTAAATGCACCCACACTTATTATATATCATTTTTTTCAGGAGAAACAGGGCTTTCATTTCATATCAAATATTTATATATGAAACCTAATTTATTATGAATAAAATTAAAAAAACTGTGAGAAATTTTATTTTTTTTAAAAAAATGTGTAGTTCCGCCTCACATTTTAGCTGTAAATGTCATAATACTGTTAGGTTTTACTGCAAAAAAATGCACATAATTGTAATCAGCAACAGTACCCCCCATTAACAGGTTTTATGGTGTTTTGGAAAGTTACAGGGTCAAATATAGAACGTTCCATTTTCAAATTGTAATTTGCCAGATTAGTAATGTTACCTTTGAGACGGTGTGGTAGCCCAGGAATGAGAATTACCCCCATAATGGCATACCATTTGAAAAAGTAGACAACCCAAGGTATTGAACGTGGGGTATGTTTAGTCTTTTTTAGTAGCCACTTAGTCACAAACACTGGCCAAAGTTAGCGTTCATATTTGTTTTTGTGTGAAGAAAGCAAAAAACTAATATTTGGCCAGTGTTTGTGACTAAGTGGCTACTAAAAATGACTGGACATACCCAATTTGCAATAACTTGGATTGTCTACTTTTGCAAATGGTATGCCATCATGGGGGTAATTCTTATTCCTGGGCTACCATACGGTCTTAAAGGCAACATAACCAATCTGGCAAATTTCAATGTCAAAAAAATGAAATGCAAGTCTTATATGTGACTCTCTAACTTTCCAAAACACCATAAAACCTGTACATGGGGGGTACTGTTATTCTCGGGAGACTTCACTAAATACAAATATTAGTGTTTTAAAACAGTAAAACATATTACAACAATAATATAGTCCATAAAAATGCCGTTTGTTTGTAAAAAATGCAAAAAATTTCACTTTTACTTAAAATATCATCGTTGTAATACAATTTACCAGTTTTAAACACTAATATTTGAGTTCAGCGAAGTCTCCCGAGTAAAACAGTACCCCCTATGTACAGGTTTTATGGTGTCTTGGAGAGTTACAGGGTCAAATATAGTGCTTTTGAATTAAATTCTCTGCACTTTCTCCCTGTGTTGTCAGGCATGTCAATCAAATTTTAATTAATCAAATAACATAATTATGTTAAAATATTACTTAAATATACACGTAGAATTTTAATATATATGCATATATAGGTATTTAAATTCTACATGTATACTAATGTAATATTTTATGTAATTATATGTATTTATCTATATATATATATTTGCGGTTATTTGTATTTTATTTATATAGATAGATATATATAGTGTGAAGAAAATGGACTTTTGAATGACATTTTCTTCTTTATTCTGTATTTTTCCTGTGTACTACCTGTATAGTGAATGTATCCGTTCGTTAGTTTGAAACTACCGAACGCCGACCACCCTCCTGGCTTGTTAACTACAAAGGAACCAGCTATTAAGTGCTCCCTGGGCGGCCGCTGTTCGTATAGTCGAACGCCACGTGGAATAGAAAACGGCGGCCATTTTGTTCGCACAAGGGGAGTCAGCGGGACTTGGTCGTCGAGTGTCTGGAACTAAAATCGGACACTCGACCTCGTGAACCACCGCTGAAACTACTGAACGCCGGCTTCTTGTATTTCCCGAACAGCCAGGAAAGCGGCGTTCGGTAGTTCTATGCGAACGGACAAGGGGAGCAATCGCTGCTATGAGCCAGGGGGATCCATTCGGGACTTTTGTTTGGTTTTTGTGTATTTGTGAATTG